CTTCGGTCGGTACGAACCAACTATAGTAAACTAAGGTTGCGGCACGATTTGTCTCCCCTAAGCATGACTCATCTCACGATTTGTATATACAAGAGAGAAAAACAGTTGTATGATCACACATTCTCAATCACAGAAATCGAATACATAAATCGAATGAAAAAATTATTTGAATAAAATATCTAAAAATAATCATACAACGATTATCCAATCCCAAAGAAAAACAAGAATTAAAATTACATTATACTTTATTAGAGTTTCATCTCAATCCTAAGAAAAAAAAGCTTTGCTGCTCATGGAGAGGTTGAACACTTCGGATGTTGAAAAGAAAGCCATGGATTGATGATTTTCTCTTCTTATCTAACTTATAGTAGTCTTCTCTAGGGTTTCAAATCCCAAAATAGGTCCCCAAAATCCCTTTTTATAGCCTCTAGTGCAATCAGAGTCAAAAACACACGGACACATATCGAGGCAAATTCGCTCATGCGGATTGGGAATTCCGCTCGATTGGATCCAGTCAAAGAGCAATTTTCGGCAAGGAAATCTGTTCATGCAAATTTGTGAATTCCGCTCATGTTGATTTACTCAGTGATGGAAGAGAGCAATGTTAAATGGAATATAAGAAAATAGTAGTGTGATAGGGATTATTGAGTATGTTAAATAGGCCAAATCATATATCAGTGGTGTTTGGGGTGAATAATAACATATGAGTGGAAAGATTTTCCAAATTCCGAATGAAGTGAAAAGTGGCATAAGACTTATGGGAAGTCTATAGCATATTTAAATTGAGCCTAATTTCCTATAATTTTTTGTTAGGTCAATTAATCTAATTAAGTAATATTTGATAATTATTTAATCAAATAAAAACAACTCAAACTATCATTTGTCCAAATAGATCTGCCCTATGCCTGATGCTCAATTTGTTTTGGCGGAAAACATTTTTTTAAAAACATTTTTCACATTTTTTGATATTTAGTATAATGAAAAACAAAAATTAACGGAAAAACATTTTGTATAGTCAATGGAAAATATACTTATTTGAGTGGAAAACATTTTCCGAACTAAACTTTTATCAATATCACCACATTGTTGCCACGACCATCACCAATACTACCAGCATCATTAAAAACTGTTAATTAACTTGATGATTTATTAACAAAAAAATTATTATTAAATTAAAAATTTTAAGAGACTGGATATGATTTCCATGGCTACATGGACAAACCATATTTTAAGTAAATTTTAAACTTTCATTTGGTTTGAGTGATTTGGAGAAAAAATAAAATGGAGAAATAAATTTCAATCCTTTATTTGGATTACTAAATATGAAAGAAATGGAAAGAAGTGGGAAATGTCTCATCCTTCTATTTCATTACTCCCAATTAATGAGGTGGCAAACAGCATCAACCAATCAATTCTCTTTAAACTCTTCTCTCAGTTCAAACTCTTTTCTCCTAAGTTACCAAACATAGTATAAAAGATATATTTATAATTTATCCTTTAAAATTTTTTAGACTCTGATTATATAATTATAAATATTTAATTAGTTGTATTTATATATATATATATATAATTTACCAAATAAATCATATAATATAAACAATAAATGATGTAAATTATTGAAATAAATTTATTATTATTTTTAATGTAAATAATTCCAATATTGACTCAATGACGGGAGTCAGGAGCCTCTCCTTGCAAGCTTGTGCTTGCGTCCGTCCTTGCAGGCCTTCGGGTCTACTTTCAAGCCCAATTTTGATAATCCGAACCGTTTATATTTTATGATTTATTCAGTATATCATACCTGTAAAAAATCAAGTTGATCGGATATCAGAAAGTATGTGTTTGAAAAATTGAACTAAACACTATTTTTTAAAGAATTTAATAAACAGTTTTCCGAACATATGCTTTCTAATATCCGATCAACTTGATTTTTTACAGGTATGATATACTGAATAAATTATAAAATATGAACGGTTCGGATTATCAAAATTGGACCTAAAAGTAGACCCGAAGGCCTGCAAGGACGGGCGCAAGCACCGAAGCTGCAAGGAGAGGATCCTCACTCCAATGACGGTCGGTCACATAGGTTACTGTTCCGGACACAGACCAATCCCCTTGTCCCACATCTGTCGTGTGGAAAGCATTTTCTATGGGCAAGACTTTGACTTTTGATGATATCCCCTGTCCCACATCTATCGTGTGGAAAACATTTTCTGTGGATAAGAAACTTTTGATACGATCCCCATGTCCCACGTCTATCGTGTGGAAAACATTTTCCGTGGCAAGACTTTGACTTTTGATAATAGGGTATAAATCGATTTTTTAAATTAAATAAACTAACATTGTTAACATGACTTAAATTATTTGATGATATATACAAAATGCTATATAAAATAAAATAAAATAAATATTATTAAAGTGGATGAAATAGTTAAAGAGTTATCAACATACCGCAATAAAGTACACTAAAAATGTTGAAAACAAAACTCGAGAAGGTGATGTATGAAAGCAATATGAATGATTTGTAGTAAATTCTGCTAATCTTAAATTCTATTCAACTTCGGATAAAAATAAATAAATAAAAATAAAAAATAAAAAAACTCTGTTGAACTTGAAGAACATCTAGTAACATAGTATTGGTTTGGCATGATGGGTTGGGTTGGGTTGGGTTGGATTTGGTTGGGTTGGATTGGGTTGGGGCTAAAATAGTCACTAAAAGATTAAACAGACATTTTAATCTCAGGTTAAAAAATGTCACATTCAAATTATAATTATTTCATTTTTTTTCTCACAAAAGTCAAAACAAACAAAAAGTCTACCTCAAACATGACTTTTTAGCCCCAGTCTAAAATAGCTAAAAAGTCAGAAGATCAATGCACATCCGAAATGAATAGGAACAATTAATATTATTCATTGCAAGAGCAGCATTACATAGATATTTCGAGAAGTTAAATGCATCATAATAATTACATAGAATGTAAGTTTATCCTTATCTTTCTTGAAGTATAATATTTTTTATTCAGCGCAGCAAAGTTTCATCGTCATATTTGAAATTGTCATATTTTTCTTCTTAAGTTGAATATATAGTTATTACTAGCAAAAGTTTAAGGGATGGCTCGTGCGCAAGGGGCTTGGACACTGTATAGTCAGACACATTCTTAGATAAAATTACTTTTCACCACATAATCACCAATCCAAAAAATTTAGGTGAATAAGCATGAATTCCCAGACTTTCCCTATAATGTTTTGCTGAAGAAAAGGGCAGTACATTCCTTCTCCTCCCTTCCACCACATACCACTTCTACAATGACTCTGTGTTGCTTCCTTTTTGGGATCTCTAATGGTGCACTCATGCATGCATAGGATCACAAATGAATAGAACCGTTCGTAAGCGGATTTAAAGTCGGCTTGGTAAGGGCTCATTCGAACTCAATTTGTTAATTATTTATTTATCACTACAACAAAAAGCAGTTTTGGCGACCAAAAATGTAAATTTCGTCGCTGAAGTAAGACAATTGGCGACTAAAATTGAATTAGTAGCCAAAAGTGAAGACTTTTGGCGACTAAAACAGTTTAGTAGCCAAATGTGTACTTATTGGCGACTAAAAATCAGATTAGTCGCTGATTACATGGGTTTTAGCGACTAAAACAATTTTAGTAGCCAAAAGTGAAGGTTTTCGGCGACTAAAAAAGATTAGTAGCCAAAAGTATAGGCTTTGGCGACTAAAAAATGGTTTGGTCGCCGATTGTAGGTGTTTTACCGACAAAAAAAAACTTGTAGCCAAATGTAAAGGTTTTTGGCTACTAAATCTTTTTATGTTTTGTTTTTGTGTCTAGCTTCTCGGGTTGTGAGAGGTGTGTTTTGTGCACCTTTTTTTGGGTTGCGAGAAGCTTGTTTCTCGGTGGTTTGGGTTTGAGTATCCTTTGTGCCTATTCTTCTCGGGTTGTGAGAGGCTTTCCTTTCTATGTTAGGTCCTTTGTGTGTGCCTCTGTAGCAAGGTTCTACCACCAACACCACTATCATATTCTATACATGCCACTATCTACCACCAACACCACTATCATATTATATGCATGAACACAATTTCCAGCAGTAAAAATATAAATATGTTATGTTTTCATTTTTTCTATTTTATTTTTGTTTTATATGTTCTATGGATGTGTGGATTCTAAGTACTGCAAATAAATAGAATTGTTTATGAACAGACTCTAACTCTACTTGGTAAGAGCTTGTTCAAATTTGGTTTGTCAAATTTTTTTTTTTATGTTCGAGTTTAAGCTTATTAAAATTTTAATAAATAAGCCTAAATATATTAAAACTGGACTCCGTTTAACATTTATTATTTATATATTAAATAATATAAAACATGTATAAAAAAAAGATAAACATATTATTTATATATTTAAAAAAGTAAATATAAATAATAGATAATATATTTACATAATAGTGGTGGTATATATTATTATTTTATTATTATTGTATATATAATTGTATAATCAAAATTTCAATTGTAAATTTAATCTCATGCGCAAGTATGAATTTATAATTTTTTTGGCTTGTGAATAGATTCGAACTCGAATAAAGCCTAAGCCAACTTGACTCAAACTCGGTTTGTGAAATTTTTATTAAACTCAAATTTAAATTCGTTAAAATCTTAATAAATAAGTCGAAATATATTAAAACTCGGCTTGTCAGTTCGGCTCATTTAATATTTATTATTTATATATTAAATAATATATAAATGTGTATGTTACTTACATATTTAAAAAATGTAAATGTAAATAATTGCTAACTATGGATAATATATTTGTATAATAGTAGTGGTAGATATTATTATGTTTGTAAAATATTGACTTTTCTTTCTCTAGACTTGTTTTCCTATTATCAGTTAGTCAAACTTGAACCATACAATTTCCATGTACTGCTTCAAAACCTTACCCAGTTACAATATCTTTGTCTTGCCCGCGTGAACATATCTTCAATTGTACCCATTTCCTTGATGAATCTGTCTTCTTTGACATATCTAGATCTTAAGCAAACCGGTTTGCAGGAGAAATTGTCAAATAAAATTTTTCACTTGCCAAACTTGGAAGCGCTCAACTTGGGTTACAACCCTTATCTCACTGGCTATTTGCCACAGGTAAATTGGACCAGTAGTGGTTTCTTTTCAATGTTACGACTCAGAGGGACAGCTTTCTCTGGAGAGCTACCCGATTACATTGGCTATCTCAAGTCATTAAAATACTTGTGTCTGGCTAATTGCAAATTCTCGGGATCCATACCTATGTCCCTAGGGAAACTTGTTCAAATGGCTTATTTCGACATATCGGGTAACAATTTTGAAGGCCAAATTTCCAATTCTTTTGCTAACTTGACACAAATAACTTACTTGTGTCTTTCTCACAACAGTTTCAGTGGTCAGGTCTCATCTATATTCTCAAATCTTGAGCAACTCTTTTATTTGGATATTTCATATAACCGTCTTGAAGGCCAAATTCCCAATATTGCCAACCTTTCAAAGGTTGGATATTTTACTCTAAGGCGAAACCATTTTATAGGTCAATTCCCATGTTGGGTAGCCAACTTGACACAACTTGTTTGTTTAAACATTGGGTTAAATGAATTGACTGGTCCGATTCCCGCCAACTTAAGAGGGCTTTCAAACTTAAGATATCTTTGCTCAGCTTATAACAGCCATACTGGGACGCTGCCGATTTGGCTGTATAATCTTCCATCATTGAAGTACTTATCAATTGGTTCTAATGAATTCACAGGTCAAATCTATGAATTCCAAAGTAAGTCATTGAATCATATTAATTTGCGTCGTAACAAGCTACATGGCCCCATTCCACCATGTCCGACCATCATCAATCATTTCCTCTCAAAGAATACATTCACTGGAGAAATCCCTTCGACAATTTGCAATGTAAGTTTCCTTGAGATACTTGATTTGTCTCATAATAGCTTGAGTGGTATAATTCCACAATGTTTAGCAAACTTTAGCAATGTACTCAGTGTGTTAGATCTTAGGATGAATAATTTTCACGGAAACATTCCATCCACATTTCTTTTCCTCTCAAAGAATACATTCACTGGAGAAATCCCTTCGACAGTTTGCAATGTAAGTTTCCTTGAGATACTTGATTTGTCTAATAATAGCTTGAGTGGTATAATTCCACAATGTTTAGCAAACTTTAGCAATGTACTCAGTGTGTTAGATCTTAGGATGAATAATTTTCACGGAAACATTCCATCCACATTTACAGAGGGAAACAAGTTGAGGAATATTGTTTTAAATGGTAATCAGTTGGAAAGTAGGGTGCCACGGTCCTTGGCAACATGTAGACACTTGGAGGTTCTAGACTTCGAAAACAACAAGATAAACGACACATTCCCCTACTGGTTGGAATTTCTTTCAGAGTTGCATGTCCTAGCCTTTAAATCCAATAAATTCCATGGTCCTGTGGACTCTTCCAAAACTAAACTCCTTTTCCCAAAGCTTCGAATCTTTGACCTCTCTCACAACGAGTTTAGTTGTTTGCCTACAACATATTTCAAGCATTTTAATGCTATGAAGATGGTTGATGAAAAGGTGGAAAGAAAATATATGGGGCAATCCTATTATTCTGATTCAGTGACCATCATGTTGAAGGGGAATGAGGTTGTATTACCAAGAATTCTAACCATCTTCACGACAATTGACTTATCGCACAACAAATTTAGAGGAGAGATTCCATATGCCATCGGAAAACTTTATGGACTTCGGTTGTTTAATTTATCTCACAACAACCTTATTGGCAATATCCCTTCATCATTGGGAAATCTATGTTTGCTTGAATTGTTGGACCTCTCTTCAAACGAACTTTCTGGTAAGATTCCTAGCCAATTGACAAGTTTGACATTTCTTTGTATGTTAAATTTTTCACAAAGTCATCTCGAGGGTCGCATACCTCGAGGCAACCAATTTGAAACATTTGAAAATAGCTCATACAATGGGAACCTGGCATTATGTGGATTTCCACTGTCGAAGGAATGTGGAGATATTAACACACCACAACTGCATCCAACACCTATGTTGCACAAGGAAGATGATCCAACTTTGCAAGTGAATTTAATTGGAAAGTGGTAGGGATGGGGTACGGATGTGGAATGGTATTGGGTTTGGTAATGGGATATCTTATGTTCTTAATTGGAAAATCAAAATGGTTTGTAAGAATTGCTAAAGGAAAACGACAGAAGAAAGGGAAAAGGTCACACGAGTGGTGACATGGTGGAAGAATAAAGTAGAAAACACAAATGGCGTCTCAAGTATGTACCCTTTCTCTACCCTCACTTTTTTTTTTTTCATTGTTACTGTGTTGAATACATAAGAAAGGGATTAGTTTAATCATTTCAATTAAATGCAAATTTTTGCCCCAAATTTACTACTGAATTTTCATATAAGCTCACCGAGAGGGGTTATTTTCTGTCCACTTACCCAATGTTCACTATATTTTCTAGCTGATGAAAGAGGTGCCATCATTTGAAAGTTTTTGCAGGTAAAGAGAGAAAGAGGCTGAATGTGAAACACTGGGACCGTTGCTCCGTCTATCAGGAGTTGTTTCTTATCAAAATATTATGTTCTAGTGAAGTGAATTGTATTTGATGCTTTACGAGTTGTCATAAATTCTTACTTCTATGTTTGAACTTCTTAAAACTTTATATTTTGTTTAAAGTTTAGTTGGAGTGTTGATGTATCATGGCGTGTTCGATGCTCCAAGAAATTATTTTTTACAATTAATAATATTTGGATAAATTATATTCATGGTTCTTGTAATTTGTTACTTGACAATTTGATACCAGTAATTTTAATCGTATCGATTGTGCCTTCTAATTTTTTTGACATTGTGTCAACTTGGTCAAATTAATAACAACCATTTAAAAATTGAATAGAAATCAAGAACATAATGTTTATTCAAAAGAGAATGAATTATTTGAAATTGAACACAAGCCCCTCAATCACTTTGGGCTAGTTTGGCATGTATTAAATAAGTTAAAAAGTCAAAAAGTCACTATCTTATTTAAGTCACATCATCTTATTTAAATCATATCACATCAAATCCAACCCAAACCCAACCCAAACCCACCAATAAGTCAAAAAGTGCACTTTTTTAGGACATCCCAAACCAACCCAGGTGGATGAACTATTTTACTCCTTGATTTCAATCCAATTTCTACAAAGACATTTTCAATTAGATTAAGTTGTTTAAATGTACTAACTTTAAGGGTAGAAATGATACAATTAGAACTGTAAATACCAAATTGGCACAAGTGGTTAAGAGGTTGTTTAGGGTGTCCTAAATAAGTACACTTTTTATCTTTTTAGACTAAAAAATTAAGAGAAAAAAGAAAATTATTAAGGATAAATTTTTATCTTTTTATAAAAAAATATGTAATATAATATTATTACAAATGGTGAAATGACTCGTTTACTCTTCCCAACTGACACACCAGCAGTGTTACCGTTGTTGGGAACCGTGAGTGGTCCACCTTGCACAATTCATACAATGTGCAACGGTAAAGTTAACATAATTTAAAATCTTTTATTCATTTCCTAATTTCAAATACTGTGCAACGGTCATTGGAAACAAGTGGTTGAACTTTATTTATTTTTTTTATTCATTATGTTTTGTTTTCATTCTTTCCCTTTTATCATTATTTTTTGTTTTTCCTTATAGTCATTTTTTTTTAATTCTTTTCTTTTTAGCATTTTTGTTTTTATTATTTTCAGTTTTGAAAGAATTTATTTTTTTAATTCTTTTCCTTTTAACATTATTATTTTTTTTATTCTTTTCCTTTTAACATTATTAATTTTTTTATTCTTTTCATTTTTTTTTCAATTATTTTTTTATCCATTCTTTTCGTTTTAAGTTTTGTTTTTTTTCTTTTCCTTTTTTAGTCAATATTTTTTTTTATCCTTTTCCTTTTTTTTTTCTTTTCCTTTTAACATTTTCATATTATTTTTTATTCTTTTCGTTTTAACATTATTAATTTTGGTTTATTGTTTTACTTTTTTTATCATTTTTTTGTATTCTTTTCCTTTTTCGTGGAATTTTTTCTTTTTTGATTGTTTTCCTTTTTGTATTAATTATTAAATTTTTTATTCAAGCAGAGGTTGCAATTGTTCCATTATTGTCCGAAATTTGGAAATGAGTAGAACAGGTCTGCTCTGTATTTTTGGGAATTCATATCATAACATGTGAATAAAAAAAAGATAAACCACGTACATGACCAGTCATACAAATTTCTTCTTTTTTTTTTTAATGTTTTGTTTTTTTTTCTGACCAATGGCTAGAAATAATTTTTTGGCATAGCCAGGTTGAGAACAAATTATTATAAAAGATATTTCAAAAACTTCCCCCATGTTTGCAGAAGTTAATTAGTGGACATACTTCCTTTAAAAATACACTACTATGAAAATGTCTACGCTCCGAAACACATGAGACTATTAAAACCAAACGTGTTTACAAATATGAATCTCAATTACTGATGTTAACAACCTTCAACCAATATTCTTGTATTTCCAATTCGCCCCTACCGGTGTGCTTGCCGTACCAATGCGTTAGTAATGTTCACCCTTACAGCGGCCATTGCAGGGTCCGAGTCCTCTTCCTCCATCACATCAGCAACCCGTGTGTATTCGTCGTGGTCGGGCATTTGGGGGGCCACGTAATCGTCACTGTCTGGGATAGTTATCGTGACCTCATCAAGTTCGCTATGTCGGCGTATGAAGTTATGTAACGCCATCGATGCACATACAAACGTAACTTGAGTTAGTCGTTATTGAATTTTTTTTATATAGTTAATATTTTTATTCAATTGATAGTGTTTATTTTATAATATTATAATATATATATATATATATCCTATAAAATCATTATATGATAATTCAACTATAACATATTTATATTTAATTTTTTTAATAAATTTTATATAATTTCAATTTTTACGTATTTTTAATTTTCCAAATGAATATAAAAGAATATTGAATAGTTAGAATTACTTTTAATTTCATGTTACTAATTCTTCTTCTAATTTGACTATTATTTTCAATATCAAAATGAGTATTTATTTTATAATTTTATAATATATATATCATACAAAATTACTATATGATAATTACACTTTTATAATATGATAGAACTAAAATTATCAAA